ATAACAAAACAAAACAAAAATGAAAATAAAATACTGAAAATGAATTTTAATAGAGACGTGTTTCTAGCCGTGTCTTATAATTAATTGAAATTCACTAAACATTATGAATTGCGATATGTACAGTGAATACAGCGAACAGCGACAAGGGACAAGAGACAGGTGAACAGAGAACAAGAGACAGGTGAACAGAGAACACATGTAAATTGTCAATTAGTCTGTTTATAATGACAGAGCTTGAGCGTTGAACGATCTTTCAACACATGGCACCAAATATTTCGGGCTAATAAAAATGCATAGCAGAGTAGATGTAGTCAAGCGTATCGAAGATTAAATACCCTGGAATAATAAAAAGATGATATACAGTGCGTGTCATTGTTACAGCGCCACTTTCATGCTGTGCATTAATTTTTTTTAAATATAGATCAATCGAGGCAAAATTATTACATCCAACGATTTTTATTATAAACAAATTTTCTATATTATATTTATATCAATTATTTCTAATGTGATATATGAATAATAAATATGGATATTCCATGCTAAAAAAAAAAAAACAAGAAACTATTTTATTTTCATATTTTGCTAGCCATAGATATTCTAATGTTATAATTTTTAAAATATTGGGGAAATAATATATGGATAATCCACTGGAAACGGGGTTTTCCATCGTTGATTGCTATAATACATACACAGATAGATAGAGCAATGAAATGTCGAAACTTTTCTAGTTCTTATAGAGACATCTATTCGATCCATATTTCGTAACTAAATCATAATACCCCATTCCAATAGTGCATATGCAATCCATTTAATTGCCACCAGGCTGAAGTTTTGGAGGAGTTACAGCTCGTTAGCCAGATGACATGACAAAAATTAAAGCAAACAGACAGACACACACATACACAGACACACACACACATACATGCACACAAATCAAGCGGAAATTTGAAATGAAAATGAAATATGCAAAATCAAGGAAAATAACAAACGGAATTTGCATGCAATTCATTTGAAACAATGCAACAATCGAAACTTTCAAAAGCCAAATTGAAATTGCAAATTCACAAGGTGCTCAAAAAAGTGGAAAAAAAGAAAAAAAACGCCAGATTGAGCATATATCTCCGCAATGCGAGTTTGATAGCGTAATTAGAATGAAATTACCTGAACTTGAGCCAATTAGCGTGATTTCAAATTAACTTTTATGCTTTGTTCTAATCTCATTTGAATTTTACAATTGAAGTAAAACCAAAAATCAACAAAGTACCTAATTTGCTTATCATATCTGAATAATTTTATGCATTATGCTGATCAAAATTAAATCCAGTTGCGCAAACAGTGAAAGATATAACAGCAAATTCTTGTTTATTTAACTGCTTATCTCTATGTAGCGATTAGTGCAGAACAAAGCAAATTTTATGATAAGCTCAGTCTTCGACATGCTCAACTCGTTTTTCGCGAAGACAAGTCTAGGTTTACTAATCTTTTAATTAAGAGTAGATATATGTACATATATACATTTGTATTTCTCCACAAATGTGTCTAACATTTTCTTGAATCTCTTTATCACTCAATCGGCTTCGTCAAAAAACGTAATATCTGCCTTTATATGCGATTCTCATAGCTTCGGGAAATCATATATTTTAATTATTCGTAACACCTATGTCTCATCAACTCATTGTATCCTCGAATCAAATAGCCCAGAATAAGAATTAAATTCTTATATATGCACTTAATATATTAGATATAGAAATATTTCGGTATCTACGCTCTAAGCTCGCATATAAAATTGGGGGAATTGCAATTGAAAACTATAATGAAATAACGTGAACTTGAGCCACATTTGATGAGAACAACCATCAGAGATAATTACGGGTATTACACAGTCTAAACAAAATAACTTGAAAATTTTATATTTTACGCATACGCAACAAGCATACGCACTGTTAACCAATAAAAAAATAAATAAATAAAATATGACAAACATATGAATAATTTGTGGGCATATGCATGACGTTCCGAATCAGTAAAAAGTGCTGCAATCACATTACCTCAATTAATAAAGACCTGTGATGAATTTATAAATACGCATTTAACACCTGCAATTGACCACAACAAAGCGAATGAATCCACCAAAAATAAAAAAAAAATTAAACTAAAAGACAATAACAGAAAAATCAACAGCAGCTGTTGTGCAGCAAAAAGAAGGCTTGGCTCATGGAGATTATACATTAAGCACCTTAAGAATGTCAGCTAAGAACTTCCAAAAAGTTCACAGCCCTCCATCAAGGGTAGCCAAATATATACACACACATATATGCATATGTATATATTATATATTATATA